CCCACGCGACCCAGCCAATCAGCCTCAAGAACAGGAGGAGTGGGGGAGGTGGAGAGGTTTGTGGGAAGCCGGTGGTGGTAGTTGGGCTCTGAGGGTTTTTCCTGAAGAGCTGTGTGGTGTGGTGTGTGTGTGTTCTAAAAATAAAGTTCATTTCTTTTGACAAGTAAATTGTGCTCAGCCAGACAAAAGAAAGAAAACCTCAGACCAATGTCTCTAATGAACATAAACGCAAAATTTCTCAATTTTATCTGGCAAATCGAATACAAAAACATATCAAAAAAATCACCACCACGATCAAGTAGGTTTCATCCCAGGGATGTAAGGTTGGTTCAACAATCAATAAATGTAATTCATCACATCAATAGACTTAAAGACAAGAATCATATAATCATCTCAATAGATGCAGAAAAAGCATTTGACAAAAATACAGCATCCCTTTATGTTCAAAACACTAGAAAAACTAGATATAACAGGAACATATCTCAACATCATAAAGGCTATCTATGCTAAGCCTCAGGCCAACATTCTAAATGGAGAAAAATTAAAAGCATTCCCTCTAAAAACTGGAACAAGACAGGGATGCCCTCTTTCACTTCTATTCAACACAGTTCTTGAAACTGGCCAGAGCAATTAGACAAAAGAAATTAAAAGGATAGTATAGAAAAGAAAGCCCTATAAGATTTAATGCAATTCTGATCAAAATCCCAATGGCATTCCTCATAGAAATAGAAAAAGCAATCATGAAATTCATCTGGAAAAATAAGAGACCCAGAATAGCTAAAGCAATCCTTAGCAGGAAGAGTGAAGCAGGTGGCATCGCTATTTTAGACCTTAAACTACACTATAGAGCAACAGTAATAAAAACAGCATGGGATTGGCACCAAAATAGACTGGTAGACCAATGGTACAAAATAGAGGACATAGACTAACCCACAAAAATTACAATTATATTAGACAAAGGTGCCAAAAACATGCACTGGAGAAAAGATAGCATCTTCAACAAATGGTGCTGGGAAAACTGGAAATCCATATGCAACAAAATGAAATTAAACCCCTATCTCTCACCATTCACAAAACTCAACTCAAAATGGATCAAGGACCTAGGAATTAAACCAGAGACTCTGCATCTAATAGAAGAAACAGTACACCCTAATCTTCATCATGTGGGATTAGGCCCCAACTTCCTTAGTAAGACTTCTATATCACAAGAATTAAAACCAAGAATCAATAAATGAAATGGAATCAAACTAAAAAGTTTCTTCTCGGCAAAAGGAACAATCTGTTAGGTGAAGAGAGAGCCTACATCCTGGGAGCCAATTTTCACCCCTCACACATCATATAGAGCACTCATCTCTAGGGTATATAAAGAACTCAAAAAGCTAAGCACCAAAAAAACAAATAACCCAATCAACAAATGGGCCAAGGACCTCAACAGACACTTCTCAGAAGAGGATATACAATCATTCAACAAATTATGAAAAAATGCTCATCATCTCTACCAATTAGAGAAATGCAAATCAAAACTAAGATACCATGTCACTCCAGTCAGAATGGCAGCTATTATGAATACAAACAATAATAAGTGTTGGCAAGAATGTGGGGAAAAAGGCACACCCATACATTGCTCATGGGACTACAAATGGTGCAACCAATATGGAAAGCAGTATGGAGATTCCTTGGAAATCTGGGAATGGAACCACCATTTGACCCAGCTATCCCTCTCCTCAGACTATTCCCAAAGGACTTAAAAACAGCATACTACAGGGTCACAGGCACATCAATGTTTACAGCAGCAAAATTCACAATAGCTAAACAGTGGAACCAACCTAGATGCCCTTCAGTGAATGAATGGATAAAAAAACACGGCATATATACACAATGGAATTTTACTCAGCAATAAAAGAGAATAAAATCATGGCATTGGCAGGAAAATGGATGTCGTTGGAGAATATAATGCTAAGTGAAGTTAGCCAATCCCAAAAAAACAAATGCCGAATGTTTTCTCTGATACAAGGAGGCTGACTCAGTGGAGTAGGGAGGGAGAGCATGGGAGGAATAGATGAATTCTAGATAGGGAAGAGGGGTGGGAGGGAAATGAAGGGGGCAGGGGGTTAGCAAGGATGGTGGAATGTGATAGACATCATTATCCAAAGTACATGTATGAAGACACAAATTGGGTGTCAAGAGATTTTATATACAAATAGATATATGAAAAATTGTGGCATATACGTGTAATAAGAATTGTAATGCATTCCACTGTCATTTTTTTAATCAATAAAGATAAATAGATAAATAATGAAAAACTATCTTCAAGGTTTTGTTTTCTTCAGATCAAGAAACAGCCTCCACATATGTTAAAGCCATATAGTTTCCAGTGGCCTGAAAAAGCAACTCAAAGGTAGCAAGAATTTTCTGAAAAAAATAGCAGGTGTAAAAATCTAAAGCAATTTCCCCATCAAGGACTCTATCACAGCAGGACAGACACAAAGTCCTGAGTTGGCTAACAGCTTAGTTGGCTTATAGCTCCAGTGGGGCAAAAAGTGGAGGCTGAGGTTGGGCAGTATCTCCAGTGAGGATGAGGGCTCTCCAAGCCTGCCCATCTGCTGCTTTTGTCCCAACCACATATCCCATGGTTTGGTTGGGGCTTCACAGAAACACATAGCAAGTACAAATATATAACCTGACAATAGCCAGGCGTGATGGTGCATACCTATAATCCCAGTAGCTTGGGAGGATGAGGCAGGAGGATCAAGAGTTCAAAGCCAGCCTCTGCAAAAGAGCAGCACTAAGCAACTCAATGAGACCCTGTCTCTAAATAAAATACAAAATAGGGCTGGGAATTTGGCTCAGTGGTTGAGTGCCCCTGAGTTCAATTCCCAGTACCAAAAAAAAACAGAACAAAAAAAAAGAAAAACCAAAATAGTTCATTGTCACATGTGCTCTAGAAATGAAGATATTTGGAGGAATTTTATGGTAATAATTTGAAAATCTAGATGTAATGAACATATTCTTAAGAAAAAAATCAACTTTTTAGATCAGTTTTAAATCAAAGGCTGGCAGGAGACAGCTCAGTGATATCAGAGCTTCAACACTGTCTGGAGTGTAGAGGCTAGAGCCACTGTAGGCAGGGGATGGAGCAAGTGCAGGTCCAGGCACAGACACACTCCAAGGAGTACTTCCAGCCAGGAATGTGCCAGGCTACTGTAGCTTAACATCAGGAATACCTTTTCTTTAACCCTGGGTCCAGTTCAACTGCACCAGTGAGATCAAAAACTGAACGAGCTTATATATTGATGACTTTCTGCATTAGGATGCTTCTGCAACAAAGTGCCTACTTCCCACCTCAGGGTCTAGTAATCATGCTTTGTGGCTGGACACTTGGAATTCATACTTTTTTTTTTTTTTTTTTTGAGGTACTGGGGTTGAACCCAGGAGTGTTCCACCCCTCTACCACTGAGCTAAATCCCCAGCTCCCCACCTTTTTTTGCGGGGGGTGGATATCAGGGATTGAACTCAGGGGCACTAGGTCACTGAGCTATATCCCCAGCCCTATTTTGTTGTATTTTATTTATAAGAGACAGGGTCTCACTGAGTTGCTTAGCACCTCACTTTTGCTGAAGCTGGCTTTGAACTTGTAATCTTCCTGCCTCAGTCTCTGGAGCCGCTGGGATTACAGGCATGTGCCATCACACATCAGCAGTTTGGTGACATAGTCCCAGCAGATCCGACATACAGGTCACTTTACTCTTGAGGTTCTAAAGGAGCTGCTGGAACTGGGTATTGTCCCTCTGGGGGATTCCTAACTGGCTTCTCTCCCCTTTGGCTCTCACTTTTTTTTTTTTTTTTTGCCATTTCTCATAGTCGTGATGCAGATCAATCTTTTCTTTGTTCCACAAGAAGCAACAGCAACTTCTAATGGTCTATTAGTTCTAAAATGGAATTTACTGGTTCAAATCACCAATAACCAAAATGTTAGTTCCTTTATGTTTTTTTTTTAATATTTATTTTTTAGTTGTATATGGACACAATACCTTTATTTTATTTATTTCTATGTGGTGCTGAGGATCAAACCCAGGGCCTCACATGTGCTAGGTGAGCACTCTACCACCGAGCCACAACCCCAGCCCCTCTTTTATGTTTTTTTATAACTAAAAGGTTTCACGTATACAATCAAAGACAACATTTTTTATGAGATCCAAATACAAAGTTATATTTATTTTCAATAATGAATTTATTTTCAACAAAGTAGAACCAATTTACTAATTTTTCAGTCTAACACAATCTTTAGCATAAAACTATGCTCAATAAATCAAAAAAACATTACTATTAACAGAGTAAGTAGTTCTCTTTTTAAAATATTTTTTAGTTGTAGATGGACACAAAACTTTTATTATTATTATTTTTTTATGTGATGCTGAGAATTGAACTCAGTGCTTCACACATGCCAGGCAAGCATTCTATGACTAAGCAACAACCCCAGCTCTGAGTAAGTAGTTCTTGAAATTCTAGGGTTTGTCTGTGTTTCAAACAAAACTGAGTGGAAGGTAAAGGAACACATACTAGAGATTTAACTGAGAAGGATTTGGCAAAACAATAGCCTGGAGCATGGTCCCCAAATATCAAGTTAGCAAAGCAAATATGGGCTTTTCAAAGCAGGCCAGAAATCAGAGCTCACTGTGAGGAGGGAATGATTTCCCTTTGGGAAAGTCCATGTTCAAAGTTGTGAAATTAAATCTTCCCATATTCTAGATTTTTTTTTTATTTATTTTTTAGGGCTGGGGATATATCTCAGTTGGTAGAGTGCTTGCACTGCATGCAAAAGGCCCTGGGTTCAATCCCAAACATCACACAAAAATTTTTTTTTTAGTTGTAGATGGACACAATACATTTGTTTTATTTATTAATTTTATGTGGTGCTGAGTATTGAGCCTAGTGTCTCAGACACGCTAGGCAAGCGCTCTACCACTGAGCTACAACCCCAGCCCCCCATATTCTAGATTCTTGATTTGGAATCTATCATAATCCATAGAAACTTCTGCCAAAGGATAAGAGGCTCTTCACTTGGGCTGCACGAAAGAAAATATCTGTATGCCTAATTTTCCTGCTTTAACTTTGTCGATAGGCTCATCACCAATACAGCAGAGGTTCCATTCCAGCAAAGGATTACTACTACATAGACCAACCTCTCTGATTTAGATTTTCCTTGATACTTGCCAGGGATAGTTCTAAATAGATCCAATTTCTTTTGTTTTTATCTTCCTACACAACTCTGCTTGGCTACAAAATCAGGCCTCACAGAACAGCAGCAGCATTGGTCAGAAGAGTCAATTTTATAGTAAGAACTCTGAAGTTCAATGATCACAACTTTTTTATAGACTTATCTGAACCACCTATTTTCTTTTCTCATTATATTGCCTGTTATTTCTTTCGGAATTCAATCCTCCGAGCTACATTCTGAGCACCAAATTTTTTGACCAATGCATTTCTGGTATCTTCATCATCTTTTTGCAAATCCAAGTCATCCTGTCGAGACCAAATGGGGTATCCATCAGCTCTCTGACCAGCCTCTAAAAAGTAGGAAGTAGCCTCCAGCTCACCACTATTTTTTAGAAAGGCCTGTATTACAGTTGAGAGATCCAAGTTAAACTTTTCCATTAACTGCCGAATGACCTTAATGGCAGCTCCCACCTCTGGTGTAGAGACCTTTTCTTCTTCTTCCTCCTCCTCAGGCTGTGTTTCTGAGTCTTCCTCTGGTGTAGGGGGATCATCATCACACATCGTTATATGGATTTCAAAATCAGGACTCTCATCCACCTACAGAGAATGAGTAAGACCAGTTCTGAATTACCAAATCTCAAACTCTTATAATACCTCAATTCTCCCAACTACCACCCGCTTTCTCCTACACTACAACCATACTGGATTCCCTTCAGTTCCTCTAATATGCCATGTTATATTTACATTGTGAATAAATGTAAGAAGTATGTGTATGTTTATAATATGTGTGTATGTGAAAGTCTGGGGATGTGTGTGTGCACATATGTGCGTATTTAAAACTGACTATGCTATTTCAACAGATTAGGAATTAAACTGAGATAACGCACAGTGACATACACCTATAATCCCAGCAACTCAGGAGGCTTAGACAGGAGGATTACAAGTTCAAAGCCAGTCTCTGTAATTTAGCAATGCCCTAAGTAACTTAGTGAGACTTTGTCTCAAAAAAAAAAAAAAGCAATATTCCCTAAATTCCTCCATTCATCACCTATTCTACCACTCATCAGCTATGGAAACTTTAAATTATTGCTCTCTTTTAAAATGAATCATCACTGGTTTCCCTTATGTTAATAAGTTAATGCATGACATCTTTTTCCTTGGACAAGATAAAGAAATTATTTTCTTTCTTTTTTCTTTTTTTGTTATTGAGGATAACAAGGGACACTTAGCCACTAAGCCATATTCCCAGCCCCTTTATTTTTAATTTTGAGACAGGGTCTCACTGAGTTGTTTAGGATCTTGCTAAGTTGCTAAGGCTGGTTTCAAACTTGAGATCCTCCTGCCTTAGTCTCCCAAGTCACTGAGATTACAAGCATATACCACTGTAGCCAGCTATGATTTGGATTTCTTAAAATATTATTTATCATCATTACGTTATGGTTCCTGCCTTTATCAACAACTATTATTAAATATGGGATTCCAACACATATTAGAAGGTAGACTGAAGAGTAAAATATCCCCCATTCTAAGAACACAAAAAAACTAAATTTGCCTGATTAAACCAATTACCATGGCACACATCTTTAATCCCAGCTATTTAGGAAACTGAGGCAGGAGGATCACAAATTCAAGGCTAGCTTGTGCAACTGAGCAAGACTGTCTCAAGGAAACCTTCTTTGAAATTACATTTATGCTCCTGAGAAACATAAAAAATATTTTTTTAAATGTTTTTTTTTCCAGTTGTAAGTGAACACACAATATCTTTATTTATTTTTATGACCACATAAAAATTCCTGAGGATTGAACCCAGTGCCTCACACATGCAAGGCATGCACTTTACCACTGAGCTACAGCCCCAGCCTCATAAAAAAACATTTTTAAAAGACAAATCTAGGGCCTAGGGTTGTGGCTCAACAGTAGAGTGCTCGCCTCACAAATGCGAGACTCTAAGTTCGATTCTCAGCACCACATAAAAAAAATAAATAAGTGAAATAAAGGCTTTTAAACAACAACAACAAAAAGACAAATCCACAGTTCCGACTTTAAAAACTTATGCTGAGATCAAAGTGGGATTTTTTTTGGATGGGAGGTACTGAGGATCGAACTCAGGGGCACTCGACCACTGAGCCACATCCCCAGACCTAGTTTGTATTTTATTTAGAGACAAGGTCTCACTGACTTGTTTAGCACCTCACTTTTGCTGAGGTTGGCTTTTTTCTTTGTTTTTAACTTTTTTTTTTTTTTTAGTGGTAGACAAGCACAATATCTTTATTTTTGTTTATTTATTTAAAGGTTTTTTGTTTTTTTTTAAAAGAGAGAGAGAGAGAGAATATTTTTGATATTTATTTTTTAGTTATTGGCGGACACAACATATTTGTTTGTATGTGGTGCTGAGAATCGAACCTCGGCCGCATGCATGCCAGGCGAGTGCGCTATGCTTGAGCCATATCCCCAGGCCCTATTTATTTATTTTTATGTGGTGCTGAGGATCGAACCCAGGGCCTCACAAGTTGGAGGCAAGCACTCTGCCACTGAGCTACAACCCCAGCCCCAAAGTGGGATGCTTTATATTGTTTAAAAATAACTCCCTATCATGCTTAATTTCTCTTTCTCTCCACATTACCATATTCTAATAAAAAATAAAGTTTTATGAAGCAAAGCCTAAATCAGTCCCACTTTCCCTTTTCTTTTATCTTGAATTTCTCTTTTACCTTCCTGGGCCTAAGAGTATGGTAGAAGAGGTAATCAACTTCAAATTAGAAGGGCGGGGGACAAATAAATCTATTTAACATACCACAACTTCCCCAAAATCCCGGGTGGCTTCTGCGAGCATCTTTTTGACTGCTTCTTCATTCCCCTTGATTTCTTCCTTCACATATTCTTCTTCTGGTAAGTCTGGAGTTCTCTTATTCTGTGGTTCTATCAAAGAAAATAACAACAAAGATTAACATTAGCCTTTTTTACATAAACCAAAAGTACAGTGCGTGCCATGTGAGCTTTGGGTCAGGAGTGAGCCTGTCTGTACTCCCTCTATTAGAAGATATCTGCTTTTTTATTCAGAAAGGTTAAAAAAGCATAAGACATGCATGTCCAATAATCTCTAAGCTTGTTTCCAAAACACTGTACTATTCCAATGATGTATTCCTAGGCTCTGACATACAAAAATATTCTTCCAGGTTCATTTATTTTTTGTTTTGTATTTACAAATGCAAATCAACAAACCACTTCAAGTTGGGTTCTCTGAGGCCAATCTGGGCAACTTAGTGAATAAAATTTTAGTAGAGCTTGTTATGTAGTTTAGTAGCTCAGTGCTAGAATCCTGGATTAGCATGTGGAGGCAAGGCTCTGGGTTCAATCCTCAGTACTACCACAGAACAAAACCAAAAGAACAAAACAGGTGGGGGGTTCTCTGAGTAGCAAATCTGAGACAGAGATTAACATTAAATAGTTTACCAGGGAGTGCTCTTGGGAAAATACTTGAGGAAAAGAAGAAAAGCAGGAATGGGCAGAAAGAGTAGTTGAGTTGGAAAAGCATTTCAAGGAGGCTTTAGTCAAATCCAGAGCCAACAAGGCCTTTCAGAGTTGACTGTGGTTGGGATAAAGAACAGAACCTTTATAACTCCACATAAGTCAGTCACTGGATACCTAGAAGAGACTTTAGGAGAGGCAACTCTTCTAGCCACTGAAGCAGACCTGGGTGGTTTACCACAATCCACTACATATCATCTGTAAAAAGAAGGCCCTTCTAACTTTAAACATCCTATTGTTTCCCTTTTACATTTTGTTCTTTGAGAATTTAACTCTGCTCCTGCTCATTTAACAAAAATTTATGCCAAGAAAATAGCAAAAAGATCTATTTGTGTACAATGAATCAAAAAAAGGGGGGGGGGAATAGCAAAAGAGGGTTTTTTTGCAACAAAACTGTCCTGCACCCTGATTTTGCTGGTGTTGTAAACACCATGTAATGATTTAAACGTGTGTTAAAACAAATATAACTAGAAAACAGTTCCTCAAAAAAAATTAAACATAAAAATCACCATATGTCTAGCAACCGTATTTCTGGTTATATGCCTGAAAGAATTGAAAGCAGGGCCTCAGATACCCATGTTCATAGCAGCATTATTCACAATAGACAAACAATGGAAACAAATGTGGTACATAATATTATTCAACATAAAATCATTCAGTCTTAAAACAGAATGAAATTCTGCACTACAATGTTGAAGATATTATGCTAAGAGTAATAAGCCAGGTACAGAATTTCAGTTTTGGAAAAAGATGGTAGGGATGGTTGCACATATGAATGTATTTAAGGCCACCAAACCCAAAACTTAAACACTTAAAATGGAAAATTTGTTACATATCTTTTATCATAATAACATTTTTAAATGCATATAATTATATATCCATTTCCCATTTTTTTCTTCTTTTTTGGGGGGGTAAGGGGGTACTGGGGATTTAACCCAGGAGTGCTTTACTACTGAGCCACATCCCCAACCATTTTTTTTGGGGGGGGGCAGGTACCAGGGATTGCTCAGGAACATTTAGCCAGTAAGCCACATCCCCAGCCCTATTTTGTATTTTATTTAGAGACAAGGTCTCACTGAGTTGTGCAGGGCCCCACTAAGTTGCTGAAACTGGCTTTGAACCCACCATCCTCCTGCCTCAGCCTCCCAAACCACTGAGATTATAGGTGTGTATCACTGTGCCTGCCAGTAGTTTTTAATTTTTAAGTAATAAAATTTGTAAAATATTTCTTAGTCTCTTTGGTTTCTTGACTACCACCATGTTAATTTGGGGATGGGTGGGTACTGGGGATTGAACTCAGGGGCCTTCAATCACTGAGCCACACTCCCTGTCCTATTTTGGATTTAGAGACAGGGTCTCACTCAGTTTCTTAGCACCTGGCCATTGCTGAGGCTGGCTTTGATCTCATGATCCTCCTGTTTCAGTCTTCTGAGCCTCTGGGATCACAGGCAAGCGCCACTGCGCCTGGCCACCATGCTAATATTAAAAGGTACATTCATCCATATTTTTTCTTAGTCATTTTAGGATTTTAATTTTTACATTTAAATATATGATCATCAAAACATTATTTTTGATTACTTTTGGCAAGCTATTAGGAACATGGACAAAAATAAACTTTATTTTTGTCCATGTTCCTAATAGCTTGCCAACAGTTCCAAAATTACTTATTTAAAAGCCCTAACTTCATCTACTGGGATTCTTTCTCATTCCATTTCAGTCATACTGTTCTCTTTGTGGCTCTAAGAACACACCAGCTGCACTCCCACCTTGGTGCCTTTTCCTTTTGCTATTCCCTTTACCTGAAACACTCTTTCCCAGATAGTCTCCTGGGTGGCCCTGTAACTTCCTTTGATTTCTGCTCAACCATCCATTTATCAGTGGCTTTCTCTTATCACTATAGAAAATGACCTCCTCCCCATCCCTGATTTATTTTTTCTCTATAGCACTTACCACTGCCCAGCTAGCATGTTAAGCTCCATGACCACAGGGACTTTTATTTATTGTTATATCCCAGCAGGACAACAGTGTCTGGCACTCAAACATCTGTTGAGTCAATGAATCTGAAATGTCACTTTTACCAAAAACAAAATTCCTACCAAACATGCTGAACAGGAGAAATAGATTTTTTTTTTTCCTCCTCGGACTTCAACTGTTAGATGGAACAGCCACATAAGCAAAGAAATGGGGGATGGGGAAAGCATGCCTCTTTAAACAAAAGGGTCTGTCACTGAAGTTGCCAATACCAGTTATATGAAAAGTAAAACATCTTAATAGCTTTGGGATGTGTTTTACCACACCTGAATTCCAATTTGCAATTCAAGTGAGTTTAAAAAAAAAAAATCACATAAGCAAGACCAGGAGGAGACCCTCCCGCTAAGGAGAACCTTCTTATGTAAATCAATAAAGCCAAAGCACGAAAGTAAACTGATCTGGCAAGCCTTTAAAATTATTTATACTGAATCTGCCAGAACGTAGGAGGAATTTTTTTTTTTAAACGAGTCTTTTTAAATCTCTGAAAATTTCAAGAAGCCGGTTACCCTGTTTTCTCTGGGAAGGAATAGTGGGTAGGAGGGGTGAATTTGCAATTTTCCATTTTGAAACTTTGAATACAAAACATGTTAATAAACTGGACATCCGCCGGCCGGGTGCAGTGGAGGCTGCCCGAACCCCAGCTCCTTTGGAGGCTGAGGCAGGAGGTTGGAGCTTGAGACCGACCCGGGCAGCACCACGAGACCCTGTCTCAAAACAAAACACGGAAAGCTAGTCGTTGGGAAGGTACATTAAAGCGAGAGAGCGAGGGAGCGAGGGAGAGCGTCCAGAGCCCGGGGCAATTCTACCGGATGGCAAGGAGGCGAGGCATGAGCGATGCCAGGCTGGACCTTGACAGCCCACCCCGCGCGGCCTCACCCCCGCTATCCGCGGCCTCCGGGTCCTGCTCGGCCTTGCGCTTGAGCTTCTGGGAGGAGGGGCTCACTGGGGCGTCCCCCAACAGGTACTTGTGCTCCTGGCCGCGCAGGTGCTTCAGGTAGCGGTCCTTGAGGGACTGCCACGAGTGCTGCGTGAGCGAGCTCTTCTCCATCGCCTTCCACAGGGCGTTGCCCGTGACCGAGCTGGGCGAGCGGGCGTTTTCCTTCACGTAGGTCAAGATAGCCACGTCGTCCGCGTCTGTGAAGGCGATCCGCCCCGTGAGCGGCTGCGGCTCGGGCTCCGCGGCGCCCTCAGCGGAAGCCCCGGCCTTGGACTCCGGGGCCTGGTCGGCCGCTGCGCCGGGGCCCAGCCGGTAGGCCTCCAGCTCGAGCCTCTGGTTGCGCTCCACGCAGTCCAAGATGTACTGCGTGGAAATGAAGTCTCCCGAGGCCTCGGCCAGCGCCTCCCCGGGCTGGGCCAGCAGCACGGCCCCGGGCTCCTGCACCCGGCACACGGTGCCGCCGCCATGCAGGATCAGCGTCGACAGCCGGCGCTTGGCCGGGCTGGGCCGCACGTAGAACGACAAGGGGCTGCCGTCCTCCCTCACAAACAGAGTGGAGGAGTGGGTGGGCCCGTTGGGGTCCTTGCCCGATTCCATAGCCTCCGCCATGTCCCTTGCCTTGCACCACAAGAGCTGCCCGCTAACTAGCGCTTTAGCACACACCTCACAACAGAGGGCCCGCCCCCGCGAAACCCAGCTCTGCGCCTGCGCGGGCCCCCCCCCAGCGTGCCGAGAGGCCACGCCCCCTTTTCCAGGAAGAGGCGGAGCTCCGGCCCCTGACCCGGAAATTGTCGTGTCCCCCCTCGTCACTTTTGGGTCGGGCCCTCACGGGAAGATGGCCACGGTGGAAGGGGCTCAGGTGAAAGTGGATGGCGAGCCGAAACTGAGCAAAAAGTAAGTGTGGCTGTGGGTCGTTAAGCTTTGAGGTCGCAGAATCCAGGCTGCGAAGTGCCTTCAGGCTCCCCGTCAAGTGTTCTATTGCCGGACTCCTGCCCTCGCGGGTACGCACATGTTGGGTCCCAGCCTCTGCGCCCTGGAAACTACGTCCCCCGGGATGCCCCGGGGCCTCCGCAGGGCACTGGAGGGGTCCCCCATTTTACTGCAGGAGAATGCGAAGGAGAAACCCGCTCGAGAACCCAGAAGAGACCGAAAGAAAAAGTGAAACTTCCTTGTCTCCCCACTCTGTCAGCTGCTTTCTTTTTATTATGGAGCCACTTCCTAATGAGGAGGTTGGAGAAATGCTGAATACCTTAGCTTTTTATAAAAACCTTAGAATTTTTTCCCCCACCAGGGTTATACTGCACCTCGTGTATGAAAAGGGGTCAGTTCTAAAACTGTCGTGTACCTACCTATCTGGGTTTTTCAGAGTATCTATTAGAAATGAATGCGTGATCAGTGTCCAGCAGTGGAGACCAACTTATCCAGCTAATACACCAAGCCGCCCTGAGTCTGTTGGGTGTTTCTTTGTTAACCACCCAAATCCTTGAAGTGTGTAGGTGAGCATAGATCAAGATTAGCCACCCTTTAACTGGCTGTGTCTTATTTCCTCTGAATAACTACATTCCCTCTCAACCTGGGTTTCCCATTTGAACCACAAAACACAGTTAATGATTTGAGTGGTTCTCTGAACCACTTCCAGAGGCAGAGTATGGAGGTTAAATTCTGCAAACTGTCGTGCTTTGGTGCATTTTTAGCACTTAATCCTCTTGCTGAACCCTGGGAATTATTGAAGACAATTCTAAAATGAGTAAGAATTGATTTTTTTCCTTCTGTCTCTATTTTTATGCTTTGGTGTATATTTGAAAAGCTAGAAGGCAAATGTCTAAATTTATGATTGGTAGCACCCTGTATGTTGTCCTTCATCGTAGCGATTTATGGATTTCTGTCAGTGTTTAGGACATGCTCTTAGGCCATAGGGAAAATTGGATGCATTTTGATACATTACATTAGTGTTTAAATTTTAGGACTGTAAATCATAGATGCTTTAAAAGCAAGATGCTTAGTCAACAGTGCTATTTTAAAGTAAACTGAGAGAACTAGTCAGTTTTTCTACTGTCTTTTCTTAAATACAGCTACACTTTTGGGGGGAAGGTTCCAGGGATTGAACTCAGGAGCACTTGGCCACTGAGCCACATCCCCAGCCCTGTTTTGTATTTTATTTAGAGACAGAGTCTCACTGAGTTGCTTAGCACCTCGTTTTTGAAGAGGCTGGCTTTGAACTTGTGATCCTCATGTCTCAGGCTAGCTGCTGGGATCACAGGTGTGAACCACCGTGCCCACACTTTTTTTGAGCAATTTTTATGTGCTGGCACCATACTAGATCAATAAAAGTGTTCTGTCTGATCTCAGTAATAACATTGTAAAGTTTTTTTTTTTTTTTCCCAGTGAATGAACTGAGGTGCTAGGCGATTAAATGCATGCTAAAGTTTTCCTTCCTTATGTGTGTTTTGGTACTGATCTATAGCACTGAGGCAGAGATCTAAAATGAAGTTCATATCAAGTCTGTACTGACTGTTGTACTGTCTCACATTGTCTAAAAGAATTTGTTGTTGATATTGTATGTTGTATGCCCCTCTGGTGACCATAGGCTAAAATAATTGTGATTAACATTCCCTTCTATTTCTTGATTTTTCTTGGTCTGAAATTTTTAGTGAGCACCATTTCACTCTAGGTATTGTCCCCAAGTTTTGAAAACAGTTGGACTACCTGCCCCAATGACTCATTCTCAAATGAGATCCCCTCTCAAATTTATTTTAACACAGTAGAGTGTTATCCCTATAATCCCATTGTCTTCGGGTCTCACTGATATGTAAACAATGAAATCTAATGTCCTTCCTGAAATTCACTTTTCCTGCTTATTCTTAGAATTCATCTTGTCTTTGACTCAGATGTTTTCTGTGGCTTCCTTCCTTCCTTTTTTTTTTTTTTTTTTTTTAAATGGGGTTTCACTGCTGCGTTTTGTCTAGGTTGTTCTGGGCTCAAATGAGCCTAGTACCTCAGCTTCCCAAATAGCTGGGACTATAGACCCACACACTACCACACCTATCTATGTGCCTTGCTTTTAGGTAGAGCTTGCATTTGATAGTAGCATTTTCTTCATATTTTATATGCTTTTCATTGACATGAGAGAAATCACACTTTAGGGGCTTCAAAAACACTGCCTCACATTCTGTCTTCCATATTATAGAATATTGTGATCCTTATTACCTGTTGATTGACCTGCATTTGACATTTAGCTCCATTTATGCACCTTTTTTCCATAGCCAGAACAAAGAACATTGTCTGTTACAGTTGCAGCACAGTGTTAAGAGGGTCTTAATTTAGATGGAACCCTAAAAGGAGTGCAAACATTGCTCCCCTCCCCGAAATCAAGAGTGCAGTTTGGGTGGGTATATAATGTCTGTCCCCATCTGACACCACATCTCTGTGTTTCCTGCTAGGTGGTGGTAATCATTAGTTCCAGGGTGTTCTGCCATGTTGATGCAAGCTGCTGTAAAGCTTGTTAGGGGGTCCCTGCGTCACACCTCCTGGGCAGAGTGGGGTCAGAGGGAACTTCGACTGGGTCAACTTGCTCCTTTCACAACGCTTCACAAGGACAAGCCACTTTCTAATAAAAGAAGGTTGGTGCCCATTACCTTCTTTATTGCTCTGGGAGCAAAAACCCTTTCCCTCTGTTATCTGTTAAGCCCTTGGCCAAGTCTTTGGAATTGTTGCTAAGGAAAGAAAGAGCTCTATAACTAAAATCAATAACCCTTTATCTGCTTTCTCTTTATAAATTCAAATCCCCCTTCTTAGAGTCTTGAGATGATTCTAGATCAGTACTGAGAACAAAATTCTTGTTTGAATAAAGAATTTCTGGTGCCAGTTATTTTCTCTTTTCTGTCTTCCTGTGGTTTTGTTTGCTCTTGAGATTAATTTGGTTCTAGTTTTGGAGCTATCTTTAGGACTTTCATGGGTTATTTTTAGGATTGAGTTAAAAGTTGAATGGAGGGCTGGGGATATAGCTCAGTTGGTAGAGTGCTGGCCTTGCATGTACAAGGCCCTGGGTTGGATCCCAAATATATATATATATATATATATTTATTTATTTATTTTTTTGTTTTGTTTTTATTTTGAGACAAGATCTTGCTATGATACTTAGGGCCTCACTAAATTGCTGAGGCTGGCCTTGAACTTGTGATTCTCCTGCCTGGGTCTGTTGAGTCACTGGGATTACAGGTTGGATCCCAAATATATATATCACATACACACACAAAAGCGTTGAATGGAAAACAGATTTATTTTAATCCTAGAGAAAACCAGATAGATTCTGTTGCCCACTGATTGAATTATAGCAGGATAGGCAACTATTACAAGATGGGTTGTGCCTAGAAAGAGTTGCCTACTTTGAAACCATCAGGATCAGTTTTTCTTGCTTAAAAGATGATCAAGTTGGGCTGGGGTTGTAGCTCAGTGGTAGAGCACTTGCCCAGCATGTGTGAGGCCCTGGGTTCGATTCTCAGTACCACATATAAATAAATAAAAATAAAGGTCCATTCACAACTAAAAAACATTTAAAAAAAAAAGATGATCAAGTCAAAATTTCAATTTTTTTAAGTATTTACTTTTTAGTTGTAATTGGACACAATACCTTTATTTATTTATCTTTATGTGATGCTGAGGATCAAACCCAGGGCTTCGCACATGCTAGGGAAGCACTCTACCACTGAACCACAACCCCAGCCCCCCAAATTTCAGTTTTTTAAATTATTCTCTTTTCTTTTTGTACCAGGGGTTGAACCCAGAGGTGCTTAACCACTGAGCCAAACCCTAGTCCTTTTTAGTTTTTATTTTGAGACAAGATCTTGCTAAGATACTTAGGGTTTCACTAAATTGCTGAGGCTGGCCTTGAACTTGTGAATCTCCTGCCTCGGTCTCTTGAGCCACTGGGATTACAGGTGTGCTCCATCATTCCTGGCTAAATTATTCTTTTTTTTTTTTTTTTATTGGTTGTTCACAACATTACAAAGCTCTTGACATATCATATTTCATACATTAGATTGAAGTGGGTTATGAACTCCCAATTAAATTATTCTTTTTTTTTTTTTTAAAGAGAGAGTGAGAGAGGAGAGAGAGAGAATTTTTAATATTTATTTTTTAGCTCTCGGCGGACAAAACATCTTTGTTGGTATGTGGTGCTGAGGATCGAACCCGGGCCGCACGCATGCCAGGCGAGCGCGCTACCGCTTGAGCCACATCCCCAGCCCTAAATTATTCTTAACTCATTGAAAACGAACCAAACAATGCAAACATGTTGCCATGGTTCACTGTTGGCAGAATATTCAGTTTTAATCAGTGGTTTGAAATGATGATTCATAAATTCTCTTTGAATAATGAGGTATCTGTCTTTACCCAAGTCTATTTATTTCTGGGTCAGATAGCATGTAAGATCATAAGGGATACTGAGTTACCTACTGCCCCCCGCTGGGTATTGAACCCAGGGATGCCATACCACTGAGCTACAACACCAGCCTTTTTATTTATTTATTTATTTTTGAACAGAGTCTCGCTGAGTTGCTTAAGCCCTCACTAAGTTTATTGAGGCTTACCTCAAACTTGTGATCCTACCACTTCACCCTCCCAAGTTGCTGTATGCTACTACACCTAGCCATTGCTTTGATTTTTGAGTCTCACATGACACATATGTGGAATTTGGATGAC